GAGCGATGTTCTGGTTATGTTCGTGAGACAATCAGCTGATTAGTACAACAGCATTACAACAAGATAACAACACTGTGTGCCTATCAACTGCGGTAACGTGAGCCGCCGAATGCGAAACCGTGGTCAAGCCAGCCGCCGTCTGATTTCTGTTGCGCCTAAAGCAGTGTTATTATGGTAAGGACGAGGTGCAAGTGAGCTGAAGGTTCCTGAAAGATACATACGTGTTTTTTTGTGATGCTCTTGGTCACAAATACATACAACAGAAATATAATATATTACTAAATAATCATGATTATAGTTTATAATTGATTATTTGTTATAATGCAAATACAAATTTTTCTTTTGTTATTGTGTGAACATAATTTATGTGAAATTTGACCTTTCACCAGCGTAATTCCTCAGCAGATAGTTCAGCGTTGTCATGGCTTCTCCTTCCTAGTGTCCTTTACTATCACTGCTACATATCATAATATTTTACTGTACCATCTTTGAGAAATTATAGTCTAAAAACCCCTCCAGGAGCAAACATTCAACAGACAGTTAACATTTCTGTGAAATTTGACCTTTCACCAAAACAGTTCCTTCATAGGTGACACCACCAATTTCATATCATCTGCTTCACAGTGTCCTCTACTATCACTGGTACATATATCACAACATTTTACTGTACCATCTTTGAGAAATTACAGCCAAAAAACCCCTCCCACAGCGAAAATTCAACAGACAGTTAACATTTCTGTGAACTTTGACCTTTGACCAAAACAGTTCCTTCATAGGTGAGACCACCAATTTCATATCATCTCCTTCCTAGTGTCCTCTACTATCACTGCTACATATATCATAATATTTTACTGTACCCTTTGAGAAATTACACTCTAAAAACACCTCCAACAGCGACTACAACTAGCCTATTTTTTGTTTTACCCATTACAATCAGTACTATTCAAAATCTTACTGATTAATTTGTTATCATGCTATGCTGTAGTTTTTACTTTTATTGCTGTGGTTAATTCCACAGTTTTGGTTTTAATTCACCTCGTGGACTGCTACCAAACGTTTCAATTGGACAATGGACACTGTTTTAAGAAATTCAGCACCCTCATTCATGTTTTTGATGCGTTTATCCAGTGTACAGTATAGCCCTTCTGGATCTCCAGATATTTTTTCAAATAGAAATGCTAGATTGCTTCTGTGAACCACTTTCTGTATGAAGGCTGCAGCTGTTTTTTCATCTGTGTTGGACACACTGAGAGGGGTTAGCTACGGGCCACGAGTAATGTTCATAAACCCTGTGGCTGGGTCAGTTTAGCTAATTCAACCATGCTATGTGTTTGTTAAATAGAATCAAACGTGTTGGGTTTGGTCCTCTTCATCTCCGTAGAAGCCCAATGGAAAATCGTTTTTCCAAAAGTATTTTTTCAACACACTTGCTACACTACAACGGATAGTCAGGACTGCAGAAAATACCATTAATTACAACCTGCCCTCCATTAAGGACATGTCCAGGACCTGAGTCATGAAACGGAAACATAGGAAACATAATGGCGGATCAATCTCATCCCAGACACAACCTGTTCCAGCTTCTCCCCTCTGGTAGCCGGTACAAAGCGATGTACGCCAAAACAGACCGACACAGGGACAGTTTCGACCCAAAGGCCTCATGTACATAATAATACCAACACAAAAATATTTATTTATCCAGCCTTTGCACTATGATCCCTAAACTATTTATTTACTGTCTACAAATGCTGTTGTTTTGTTTATGCCTTTGTGTGTATGTTCAACTTTATTGTCAGACTCGGGGTCCATTCGAAACATTAAAGACACCCAACATCTCCCAAAAAACACAATTATGAGTGTAATGTACACTGTAGTTTGTGTTTTTGCAGAGCTTGTTGTCATCCCAACAGTGACTAAGAACAGACTAATTTGTTATACGCCTGAGTGAATTAACTCTCTGTGATTGAAAACTGATTGAAAACTGTTTTAACACGCGTATAGCTCACATTCTCAGTGACAAATGTTTGCATGTAATGTGCGAGTTAGAAAGAGCAGTGAAAAAACATTTCCACTGATCTATTGTGGCATAGAAGGTATTTCAGCACCATGGACAGAGAGTGGAGGTCTAGCAATTTCTTAAACTTCACAGAAAATAGTCTAAAGAAATGCACTGGATTAGCCTACTTGCTCAGTTATATAACAACAAATACATATTATTTGACAATAATTAACTAGTTACCAACAAGTTGCTAGTGACTACCAACAATATAATTTCATGCACTGATGCCGGAGGTGGAGGTTGGAGGTGTTTTTAGAGTGTAATTTCTCAAAGATGGTACAGTAAAATATTATGATATATGTAGCAGTGATAGTAGAGGACACTGTGACGCAGATGATATGAAATTGGTGGTGTCACCTATGAAGGAACTGTTTTGGTCAAAGGTCAAAGTTCACAGAAATGTTAGCTGTCTGTTGAATTTTTGCTGTGGGAGGGGTTTTAGACTGTAATTTCTCCAATTTGGTATTGTAAAATATTATGATATATGTACCAGTGGTAGTAGAGGACACTGTGAAGCAGCAGAAATTAAATTGGTGGTGTCACCTATGAAGGAACTGTTTTCGTCAAAGGTCACTAAGAACATCACAAAAAACGCGTATGTGTCTTGCAGGACCTTTGGCTCACTCATAGCCCCGTCCTTACCATAATAACACTGCTTCAGGCGCATCAGAAATCCAACGGCGGCTGGCTTGACCACGGTTTTGCATTCGGCGGCTCACGTTACCGCAGTGCCGATCAAGTGACTAATTATGTCTATTGTTAGAATTTGCATTAGAAACAACGTATTTGTTTGTATTGCTTCTACGGTGCATACAAAGGTTACCACAAGCTCAAATTATGGCTGTCAGGACTTATTTGTGTTATATATTGTAGAGCACCCTTGATCCTCACCTGACCATGGCTTTGTAAACTTACCCATGATGTGGTTTATAATGGACTGTGGTACAGAAACAGGGACATTTTTACACACTCTTGGCTTACGTTTTCCATGTTGTCTGTCGGTGATCATACTTGCACTAGATGTGATAGTTTTTGGGATGTTCAATTTATTAGGCCAGATGAGCAAACCCTACCAAGATGTAATACATTGTGGATTACAGTACAGTAATGTATTGCAGTCGTATGCGACTGTGTCATGTAGCACTTCATTTATTGATGCTGCTGTTGTTTCTCCAGCTACAAGACAGGTCCTGCAACATCGACACCCTTGAAGAGAAAACCTTTGCAAATCCCAGCTCTAGCATTGTCTAGCATTGGTGCTTCTAGTGGAACAGACCGGTAAGTCATGCATAACATTATATTAATTTAGTCCTAATAGCTTTGATTAGAAACATGAACTTTATGATTAGTGTGTTATTTTATTTTTGGTCTATATCTACTGTTGAATGAGCATATGTGGGATTTACACAACTTACTCTGGTTTTCTTTACAGAGATGAGCATCTTGATGTCATTCCAGAAGCCACAGAAATTCAGGGCCTTGAACAAAGGTAACATGTACACATCATAACTTTTAGCCCTGTATTGCTTTTCTCCAAATGTTCATAATATATATTTGTAATATGTTTTTTGCAGCTTACATGACATGAGCATTGTTGAGGAGGACTTGGAGGAAAATGTTTTCAATGACCCAATGAACAGTGTGTAAGTAGTACTTCCTAATTACATGTTTTATATTTCAGTGATATTATTTGAGAACTTGTTTTTATCAGAAAGTTGTCATTATGTAAAGAATTGATTGGGCAGATGAAGCTTCCCCTTACTCCCTTGAAAGAGATGATGGTTTCAGCTCTGATGAAGAGGATCTTCCACCGATTTCTATACGGTGTGTTATTTGTCAGTCTCATTTGCAATTGTTTTGTAGTGTCTACAGATTTTTGTGCCTCAACAGAATGGGTGGAGCACTGAAGAAAGCACACTATCGATGGACTTCCTGTTATTGGAATCGACAAGACTGTGCATGATCTGCCTGCACATGAAGACCCTCTTGATGAGCCTTCTCCCTGTGATCATGACCCTGTTTTCCCAGAACCACAGAATGTCCTTTGTGAAGATGACATCATAGGTGTCAGAGCCTCCATAGTGTACGAGAACTGCTTAAGACAACTGGCTACATTTCTGATCCTGCCTGTGGATAAATGCACTGGCCTTCTGAGGACTGGTGCGCCATGCAACTCTGTTAAACCCTTTGAGATCAACATCACCACCAAGAGCACAGCAGCTACTATCGAATGCATAAGTCCAGATAATCACAGAATACCACAACTTTAAATTAGTATAAAATGAAAGGTTATACCAATAGCCAGTGGTGTACATGACAAAAGCAAATGTTTCTTCTGTGGGACTTTTAGATATAATGGACACAGCTTGTGGAGGTGGAATTCCCAGCCTGTGATGAAGTTTGGGATGCAAGCTGGAGATTTTCTCTTGTCCACCAACATTTTGTTGTCTGGCAACAACTACGCAAAGGTTGCCCTCTTGTTCAAATTCATGAACACGGGGATGGTGAACAGGAACACTTTCTTCTCCATTCAGGACACTTACTGCGTCAATACAATTAAGGACTTCTGGGAAGAGAAGGACAGAGGTTCTTTGTCGCCTTCAAGGGAAAGATGTTGTTGTCCTAGGTGTGTAGTTGATACTGTATTATGTAACATAGCTATTGAATACACTAAGCAATGACAGTATGGAAACAACTAATTACTGTTTTTCTGTTGAATTATATTTTACAAAATTTCAGCGGATGGCATAAATGACTCTCCTGGTCACTGTGCACAATACTGCAGCTACACCACCATGGAGAATAACACCAAGGAGATCATTCATGTTGCCACCATAGACAAGCGGCAAACATCATGGAACTCTGTCGTCATGGAGAAAGGGTTTCATCCAGACTGGACAAGCTTACATCAGAGATAAAGCTAGTGGAAATCTGCACAGATGCTCAAGGCCAGATTGGTGCCCTTACTTCATGTGATATATTGTATGGATGCATGTGTATAACAGCAATATAAATATTATAGTAACATGACATTATTTACCGCTTCATAGACCCAGACAAAGGCAAATACAAGGCCCTTGGAATTCATCACAGTTTGGACATGTGGCATGGTGCGAAGAACCTTGCCAAAAAAATAGCAGCAGTAAGTGTAATAACTGGCTGATGTTGTGAAACATTTATTAACCATAAGTTAATATTCTGTACATCAGGGTTATTGAACTATGTGCAGTTGATGGATGACAGCATGGAAGTTTTCATTGCACTCAAAGACAACAGATTTTGTTTACTTTCCTCTCCCAGTGTGTTACTCATTCTAGACATTTGGTGTAGTCATTTAGTGTTTTCTTTTTTTTTTGGGGTGGGGGTGAACATTTACACTTTCACCTCTACACTCAGACTATAGTTGAATGCCTGTATTTTACAGTAATAATTTTTCTCTTTTCAAGGCCGCAAAGATGAAAGGATAGTCCATCCTCTTCAACAGGCTGAAGGACATAGTCAACCATTTTCGGTGGTGTTGCAAGACTGCCGACACACGTGGGCAGTTTCTTGTAAGCACACAATTTTATTATATCTTTGAGTAATTTCATTAATTGCTATATTAACGGCATATTTATAGTGCATTTTTATGTTTTGCAGGCATTATGGGTTGGCATCCTTCACCATGTCTGCAACATTCACACCTGGACTATGGGAAGCTGCAAACACGGGCACCTTGAATCGGAGCAAATGTGAGTAAAGATGTGGATCCAGAGAGACTCCCAGTGCCACAAAGCGTTAGTGCATATAGTTCTCAATAAAAGGTGGCAGAAAGATGTTCACAAATATCTGCGATTGAGGTAGTGTGGCTATACTTTTTCACACTACAGACCTAGAGTCAGTCCAGAATCATATCCTCATGTTTGCCAGCAAGCGCTATGCTTTCAGCCCCCCAGTTTATGAGGCAAGACTTCTGCTTGCTGCTTTGGACTACAATTTCCATCGGAACCTACCAACAATGAAACGTTGGACATCAAAGAGATGTACGTTTTACACTTATATAATATTCCCATTCATAGTACAATATTCAGCCAATGTTTTATATGCATTTGATTGTCTTTACACTCAAGGTTTTCTCTTGTTCTACTTACAAACTGATATTAAATGGTTGTAATTTGTGTAATTTCAGTTTCAAAACATTGTATGAAGAACGCTAGAAGATACAGTGTGTATACCTTGAAATCTGATCAAAACTCCAAGATCTGCGCTTCTAGAGATCTGCTGTGATGGGACCAGCAAAGGGTTGCTTGGATGGTCTGTTGAAGGACAACAATGTAACCCCCTCTTTAAATTTCATAACATATTATTTATTACAAAATGCCTTTCAGCCATTCGTTCACAAAATAACACATCAACAACATGAGAGACTACTGCTGCATAAACTGTACAACTGTTGATATAAATGAACCATCTAAAACCTAACTCATTCTCACTCCCAAGTTGTCACATATGTACGAATGGTCAAGACCCTTTGTTGTCACTTTATAACGCACTTGAGAGCCCCATAGTCATAGTTCAACATACTGGGGAAAGCCCTGTAGCATAGTTTTTGAATGCTAAAGACAGGTGTAGAATATTTAACACTAGTGTAGCACTTTAGCTAACTTACCAACCTAAGTTCTGAGAAGTATAGTAGGTGTAAGAAATAGACTGTGTGTGATTAAAGAAGAGTGGACAGGTTTATTACAGCACCTTTAACACTCTCATAGTACACCGACCATGTTTGAAACAATCCCCAGAATATGAAGAGCTCTTTCATAAAAAATTCAATTTTAAAAAGTGTCCAGGGTCTTTCAGTTATTTGCATCTCTACCTGGGAAGGATAATGGACGTGTGGTGGATCTTTCTTATCTGCCAGTGTCCTATAATCTGATGTGTCAGTGCTGTTGAATGGGATCCGAAGCAGCTGACCATACCGTGGTCCGATCTCATCGTATAGGGTGCATCATCTCTGGGACTCGCTCACCATCTGCATCCAGGGAAGAGTTGACCTCTAAGTTACAACCCAGGGTCTCAAAAACCAGTCTGCACATATATATGGAATAAATCAGATAAATCATCACAGTCAATGTTCTTCAAATAAGATCTCATCCCGTTTGTCAAAATTCAATATCATCACCCTTTTGTCTAGGGAATCTTCTTAAGTTTTACATTGTTATACCAAAGATTTATAACTTTACCAGGTAGCATTTAAGCAAGACATCACTACTATGAATTGATTAAATTTCTCCATCTCTCAGCATTACATTACATTACTGAACAGTTTTCCCATTTTAGGCAAGGAAATTACCTTTAACATGTACATACACAATACTGTAAATAAAAATACCTCTTAAGGTATTACATGTAGCTTACACAGCCAAAAGTACCTCCAGAGATTAGTTTGAAACCACGACACAACAAAATACTGTTGAACAGTTCACAACATCGCATTCACAACATCCTCCGACTGCTTTTAACTTACAGTAATATGGTTTTAACCCACCCATTTAAGCTAGCATCACGCTGCACTTTTAGCTCTCTCCTGAAAGTTACAAACGTTACTCACCGGAGTTTCCAAGGTAAAAAAAAACAACTCCTTAGGCAAATGGCGGCAAAATCCCGAATGATGGTGTTTTTACACTTAAGACCCGTTTCTGGGCCCATGGGATCTCGTTTTTCCAGCTTAGCCCGCTTCTCTCTGTTCTTCGTCGTTGCGGTCTGGCGCTACAGTGAGCGCATACTGCAGAGATTACTGGATGCGCCGAGGGTCAATATAGCGCTGCTTTAAGGCCCGTGTTTTTTATGTGGGCTACAGTCTATGGTAAGGAGGAGACATGGTTGAGATGGGCGGCTTGACCAGAAACCGTACTTTCACTTGTTTCCTGTGTTAAACACAAAGTCAATATTGAGGGTTTTTTTATTCGTTTGCTTATGGATCGCAAGTAATGTTCCGTTTCACTAGTTTTATTTTGAAAGCCTAACCGGACATTGCGTATTTATTGTAGCTAACTTGACCGGACGTTGCATGTTTATTGTTGCTAACTTGACCACCTAGACGTCCAAAACGACACTAAAGGGGTGTTAACCCAGGCCGTTAAAAAAGCTGAGCCTTAAGAGGCCTAACCGAGACTTTTTTCAGTATCATTTGTAATGTTTTGTATGGCCTAGATAGTACTTACTTTAGAGGGAAAATACTTAAATAATTTCCTTAAACTTTCTACATGATCTTATGAACCATAGGTGCATATATATATAGTTTTCCATTGGAATAATACTTTTTATCAAATACAGTCATTAAGCACATCATTGATGAGCTGGTAGTGATAGATGATCTATCTCAGAGATACAGTACCAGGCCTGTAATGGTGAGGCTTTTCCACACAACCAGTAACGGCTGGGGCATCTTTCAGGTAGTCTTTAGGTGCTGCTAGATTTAGGAGATTGTTTATATTCTTTCTCCGGAAAGTATAAAAAAAACAAGATCTTATGAACCATTAACAACTCATATATAAATGGTTTGTCATTAAAATAATACTTCATTTATAAATAGTGAACCAATCATGTATAAAGTATGAAAATACAATTATTAAGCACATTATAAATGAGCTTATTAATAAAGAATACAACATACAACTATGTTTATAAATTACTTATGTGTATTAACATAAGAACAATGGTTTATAAATGATGAATATAAAATGTACTAATACTTAACAGAAAAACATTTGCATAAATATGGAATGTGATGTATTTATTTAGTTAGTTTAGTTTAGTATTTAGAACATTTTGTTGTAACACACTTTGCAAAATAAAAGCCCTCCATCTCCCCTACCAAATCCCCTCCGAAAAAACTAATTTGTCCTTCCCAGCTCCCTTACAATCAGAGAAGATAACAAAAACAATGATTCATTCATTTTGTCTTACGTTCTAACTTTAGTGGATCAAAAAATTTCAGGTATGGAATTAATCTGCAGATGCTCTGGGTCAAGATGATACCAAACTTTTCAATGGATGTACATTTTTTGAGCCACGACAAAGGTCAAAATGTGGCCTGCAACAGACTAGATTGCTGGTATTGTTTAAGTCTGGCAAACATAATAACTTGTATTTATAGTGAAGTATCAACATGTTCCTTAAGTACGTGCTTGGCCCAGCCTCATTCTTTCAACTCCTGCTGATGAGACAACCAGGAAGGCAAGGCAAGTTTGTTTATATAGCACCTTTCAATGTGACAATACAAGTACAAAGATACTTCAGAAAATATAAATAATGTAAAGACAATAGATATTTTACACACTCTTGGCTTACGTTTTCCATGTTGTCTGTCGGTGATCATACTTACACTAGATGTGATAGTTTTTGGGATGTTCAATTTATTAGGCCAGATGAGCAAACCCTATCAAGATGTAATACATTGTGGATTACAGTACAGTAATGTATTACAGTCGTATGCGACTGTGTCATGTAGCACTTCATTTATTGATGCTGCTGTTGTTTCTCCAGCTACAAGACAGGTCCTGCAACATCGACACCCTTGAAGAGAAAACCTTTGCAAATCCCAGCTCTAGCATTGTCTAGCATTGGTGCTTCTAGTGGAACAGACCGGTAAGTCATGCATAACATTATATTAATTTAGTCCTAATAGCTTTGATTAGAAACATGAACTTTATGATTAGTGGTTATTTTATTTTGGTCTATATCTACTGTTGAATGAGCATATGTGGGATTTACACAACTTACTCTGGTTATTCTTTACAGAGATGAGCATCTTGATGTCATTCCAGAAGCCACAGAAATTCAGGGCCTTGAACAAAGGTAACATGTACACATCATAACTTTTAGCCCTGTATTGCTTTTCTCCAAATGTTCATAATATATTTGTAATATGTTTTTTGCAGCTTACATGACATGAGCATTGTTGAGGAGGACTTGGAGGAAAATGTTTTCAATGACCCAATGAACAGTGTGTAAGTAGTACTTCCTAATTACATGTTTTATATTTCAGTGATATTATTTGAGAACTTGTTTTTATCAGAAAGTTGTCATTATGTAAAGAATTGATTGGGCAGATGAAGCTTCCCCTTACTCCCTTGAAAGAGATGATGGTTTCAGCTCTGATGAAGAGGATCTTCCACCGATTTCTATACGGTGTGTTATTTGTCAGTCTCAATTTGCAATTGTTTTGTAGTGTCTACAGATTTTTGTGCCTCAACAGAATGGGTGGAGCACTGAAGAAAGCACACTATCGATGGACTTCCTGTTATTGGAATCGACAAGACTGTGCATGATCTGCCTGCACATGAAGACCCTCTTGATGAGCCTTCTCCCTGTGATCATGACCCTGTTTTCCCAGAACCACAGAATGTCCTTTGTGAAGATGACATCATAGGTGTCAGAGCCTCCATAGTGTACGAGAACTGCTTAAGACAACTGGCTACATTTCTGATCCTGCCTGTGGATAAATGCACTGGCCTTCTGAGGACTGGTGCGCCATGCAACTCTGTTAAACCCTTTGAGATCAACATCACCACCAAGAGCACAGCAGCTACTATCGAATGCATAAGTCCAGATAATCACAGAATACCACAACTTTAAATTAGTATAAAATGAAAGGTTATACCAAAAGCCAGTGGTGTACATGACAAAAGCAAATGTTTCTTCTGTGGGACTTTTAGATATAATGGACACAGCTTGTGGAGGTGGAATTCCCAGCCTGTGATGAAGTTTGGGATGCAAGCTGGAGATTTTCTCTTGTCCACCAACATTTTGTTGTCTGGCAACAACTACGCAAAGGTTGCCCTCTTGTTCAAATTCATGAACACGGGGATGGTGAACAGGAACACTTTCTTCTCCATTCAGGACACTTACTGCGTCAATACAATAAAGGACTTCTGGGAAGAGAGAAGGACAGAGGTTTTGAGGGTTTTTTATTCGTTTGCTTATGGATCGCAAGTAATGTTCCGTTTCACTAGTTTTATTTTGAAAGCCTAACCGGACATTCTTGTTGGTGGACAAGAGAAAATCTCCAGCTTGCATCCCAAACTTCATAAAATATAAATAATGTAAAGACAATAGATATTAAAACCATGATTAAAACAATGGAATTAAAAGAGAAATATTTCAAACTGAGCTAAAAGCCTGGTCAACTAGAAAAGATTTCAGCCTAGATTTAAAAGTGTCCAGCGTCAGGCATTTTTAATGCTTTCTATCAAATGGTTCGATTTAGGAGCAGCGTGATAGCTACAAGTCTTTGCGTTACACAGGACTAACTTACTTGTTCCTAGTAATCTGAGAAGTCTGCTCAGCTCATGTTGGTGCAGCAAATCAGTTAATTATGATGGTCCTACACCATTAAGCGATTTATATACCAGTAATAGTAACTATTCTGTAACATACTGGTAACCAGTGTAAGGATTTAAGAAAAGGGGTGATGTGTTCAATTCTTTTACTCACTATGAACTGCATTTTGAATCAACTGAAGTTGAGCATGGATGAGTTTCTCCAGGTCTGGTTTAGTTAGAAAATCTCTAATCTTGTTGATGTTCTTGAGGGGATAAAATGATGATTTAGTAACTGATTTGACATGATAAGATCAAAATCCATTTGTACACCAAGGTTACATGCTACTTCTTTGGATTTCAGTGCTCTCTAATCCAGATAGACAGCCAATCTGAGTTTCTCATGGCTATTCCCGAAAATAATATCTCTGTCTTGTCTCTATTCAACTGCAAACTGTTTTGTCCTATTGTTAGTGATGTGCTTAAAAGGTGAGTCAAGGGGATCATAGTTGTTTGGAGAGAGGGTCAAGTAAGTCTGTAAGTCTGAGTATCATCTGCATAGCTGTGGTAAGATATTCCATAGTCTTGTAGGAACTGGCCAAGACGAAGCATGTATAAATTAAATAAGAGCGGCTCAAAAATAAGGAAGAGGAAGGAACAGGTGAGTACATGACGTCAAGTCCGGGCTATCATCTGTTCCACTAGATTTTGCAAAGCATCATTCTGCTTTTTTTTCATCTGTCTTTCTTAAAAAATTAAGCTGGTGTTTACTTTCCATATCCTAAAACAAATCAGATACACACAACATGCTGTTGAGAAAGGCTCTGTTGCTTGACTATATTTTTAGTTATTAGCGTTGTTACAAATCTTAATGGGATTTTGAATGAGGTTTTCTTACTTCTGAAAGCACCTTTATCGTTGATAGATACATTAAGAAACACTAATACTTATTGTGAAGACACCCTGTTTTCTACCAATTTGAGAGGGTATATTTGTTGGAGGGGTGTGGAATGTGAGGCATGTCACGTGTGTATTCAGAGCAGCTTAAGTTGACTGGTTGAACTAGCTCGTAGGTGATTTGTGGGATGCAGGCATGAACTAGACATTTTTACATGATAAACTAAATTCAAGCCTGAATTAAAAAAAGACTAAACCGCCAAAGCAGCATATAAATGTAATATGCAAAGGACAGACATTCAAACTTGAATTCATAGTGACAGTCACTCAAATAAAAACATACCCAAGAACCAACATATGTATAACACAAATCCTGTGTAATTGTCACTACTTCACTTAAAATATTCACGTAGCTTTAAAATCACTTTTTCAGTCCAGCCAAAAGGTTTTCTGAAAATAGCTTTTTCATTTTCAGAGACTCATTCAGTGTTTTGTTACTGACACATCATGAAGTTTTACCTTAGTTTGGCCTTGAAAGAAGACTCATGACAGTTCCCCCGATGACTCTCTGCTTTCTAATGAGCACTCCTGGTTAATTATGAACGAACGAAAACACCAGAGTTTCAGCACACTGCCTTGTCTACATGGACTAGACCAAAGAATATTAATGATCAAGGGCATAATTTAGTCTGTTGCTTCTCTGTTGATTAACAAGAGGAATGTTAACCAAGAAAAGCTATACAAAAGAAAAATCCAGCCTTGTTGCCAATAAAACAATTTTACTGAGAAAAGGAAAACTGACTAGTTTAACCTTTTGACGCATTTTCCTCTATCGTACTCATGAAAAACTTTTTCCTGAGCAAGTAAATGGTTTTCTGTGAAGATTTGTACCAAAATAACAGTTGCTAAATTAAAATAGACCACTGAACGAGCATGTGAGACTTCTTTTTCAATCCAGAGCCATAGTTTATCTCTAAATGTTTTACCCCAGTGTAGCAGGTGGGATGCACGTGTTCTCAAAGCCAGAAGAACAAAACGCTGCTGTGTTCAGTTTCTCTATACTTACATCTTACGTCTTTCTGCCACTGAACGTCTGTGTAGCCAAAAATGTAATAGATGTTGAAGCTCGAAGAAAAGATGGGACACACACAGGTGAGTGAGAGAATGAAAGAGGGGAAATATGAAAGATACACTATATTGAATGAGAAACAGCTCTCTCTGATCCTCATTATTCAATAATGCATAATCTTCATTCTTTTGCTACTGGATTCAGTAATATAAGCATGTGTGGGGCCAGCTCCATCTGGACACCACGGCGCTGCCCTCTGTACAATAATTGTTTGTTCTGGCTGGCTGAGCCCGTGTATCTCCCACCGATAACGCTAAACACAATTTTCCCTAGGAGCGGAGTTTGCTGAGAAAAACCTGTGCAGTCTATTTCCCATTAAAGGGCAAATTGAAGAGGGAAAACAGGACCCTCCAGACCGAACATGGTGTTTTCAGGATGTTATGTTTTTGACTATTTATATACATTTATATTGTACCCTTAAACATAATCAGTCTGCTATCATGGCAAAAATGTCTCCTCAGCTTAACCTTCACCACAACATGCTGTCATACAGAACTTGAATTTAATGGGCATTCGTTATTTGTCAATAAAACACACATAAAAACACTCAACTGGTGTGGTCAGATTCACGTCTCCCAATCCTTTATTACCAACAGCATCCCTTATGTTGTGCGCTGATCAGATGATTTTATGCACAAACCAACAGGTGGAAGATAAATAATCTACATATATAAGTGATATACCATACAGTATTATTGGTGGGGGTCCATCATTGATCAACAGCAGGTAGCCTGTCATGGTGGGGACCTGAATGGAGAGGCAATCAGAAAGCCCCTATGTAATTGAAATGTCCCCATGGTGTATAGATCTCTGAGAAGAGGAATGACAAATCAATAATGTCCGCTATTAAGTTGCTCTTTTTTATTATTAAGTTGCAAGGTGGGGGATGGGTAGGTTAAAAAAATTGCTTCCTGTCACGTGCGTTTGCATCTTGCGGGGTTCAATTTATCTAAGCTCCAAAATAAAGAAATTGCTGCCTCCCTGTTGCCTTGAGCTTGGAGAAATAAACAGTCAATATTTGCTCCTGGGACCTGCGAGAGGACGTGCACATAAATCACCCAGCATGCACCTGTCCAAAGAATCAGCCACAGAGTCCTGTGTCATCTCGTTTAGGATCACGCTGCTGCTGAGGCTCCCCTTCATCTTTGAATCAATGTGCCGGGGGGTACTCAGAGCTGCGGTGGCACTCCTGGTAGAAGGGACAGACGATGAAAATTACTTTTCCATCGTTTTCCGTTGAGCTCCCACAGCAGCCTGTTTACATGTACTTCAATGCTGCTGTGATGAAGATCACAGACTTTTGGCCTCACACTGGTTTTCCCTATATAGGACTTCCTTTCATTTCCCTCTTTATATGTTAATATATTTCAGTTATTCAGTGAGATAATTGCTTTTTTACCGCAAAGTGCTTCTGTCCAGATAATGAAACAGTTCCCAATTACAGTTTGAGCTCTTAAATATATGTACTGATTTCTTGCTTTGTTAATTTTGCTTTAATAATAATGATGAATGCTTAAAATATAAAATAACTTACCAACTTATGCAAAAGCTTTCATTAATTCGGTTTTAAACATAATGTTATTCTGTACTATACAGTAGACAAACAGTAGCTGTGGGTTTAGTGGTAATGGCAATCTGATGTTTGCCATATCTCCAGCTGACATATGAGAGGACATCCAGCT